CCGGTGCTGACTGACGCATTCAACACAGCGGTGAGATTTGCGGCTCGCACGTACGAGATTGTTATTGCTCGGTGGGGTGACAAGAACACTTTGCCATGCCTTCATTCCCTCTTAGTATTCTACTGGTTTATGATGGATTTTGACGTAGGGAGACAGTTCTTAGAGGACTCCCTCCCATGGGAACAGACTGCTTTACTACTTAACTATCTATTACGGACCAGCGAGTTTACGCCACGGTTAGATACCCCGGAAATTCCGTGGCCCGAAGGTGGTAAGGCGCATCCTCTTCCCGAAGACTATGCTATGCGAGGTCTGATCTATACTGGAACCTATTTCCCGAAGAAGTGGTTTGATAATACGGCGATTGATGATGAAGAAAAGAACTTTGAGCCTGCGTCAACGGTTAGTAAACGTTGCGAAAGAATCTTATGGCTGGGGTATAGCATGGCAATGAGGAAAAGAAGACTACACTGGGACAAGAACACTAAGCAGTTTTCGGCTAAGAGTAATGAGAGTAAACAAGGAAGTTCTCTATAAAGGGGGAAAATCACAACGACGAGGTCGACTTAAGCTAGCCGCGCCTATTTCCACTAGTCTCGTCGACCGCTCTCGACTCTAGGGGGACGAGGCGGAATATGATTTAGTTTAGCTGAATACGACGAACCAGCTGCTCTCGCAAACGGTACTCCGACATGCTTTTGTCGCTTTTCGCGGCTGCACTTTTCTCTGTTGTCCGTAACATTCGCCTCTTTTCTCATTAAAGAATCTTCCATCCAGGAGCGGAGGTCGACGCAGGTTTCTCAGCCTCAGCACTGCCTAAGTCGACCGACAACATTTCTGTCCGAAAGCTATACGGGCGGTGCTTCAGCACAGGTTCTTGGAAGACCTATCCGGATGTCTGCTTACTGCGCAACCATAAGAGGACAACCGTACAAAATAGCCTCACAACTCGACAGCTGGATGAGAGACGCTTGGTTGCAGAAAGTCTATTGGAAGAATGCTGTCTATACAGTGACGCCGTAGCTTCATGTGCAACACGGGAGATACATACAGACGACACACAAGCTCTCATATTCCGTACTCACATCGCTCTATCAAAGTTGAAGGGGCCACACAGAAATGTCGAGATCCGTTAGTTAGTTCTTGTGAGGGTACAAGTTATTAATAATGCTTTGCTAAGTATAACTATACAGAAAAGAAATACACTAATGCACTCCCGCTAAAAATTCCGGCCTCTTGAGCAATTTAGTTTGTACAGCTGCACCCTACAAGGTGAAAAAGAAGTCCCTTCCATCTACCAGCCCTTGAAATTGTATCCATTGAAAGTTCCCATGGGGAAGAATTCATCCCGGCCGAATATTTCCATGTCCTCGCTCGGCTTTATACATGCCCACTGAAGATATTGTTGCAGGTTGGCAACGTCCTGTGAAGTGTGGCAGCACTTTTTCTGCTGCCGCTCCCAAACAAGGTTGAGTCGGAGTGACTCGGTAAGTTCGGTAGCCAGCATCTTGCGGCGGGTGGTTCGGGGAGAAAAGGCCGCGGGGAAGTTGACGTGAGTAGCGTGGGTCGTGATGGGTTGAGCGCTGGATCGAGAGATTTCGCTAATAGGCTTGAGTGCAGAGTGTCGCATACCCTTCATCATCAGCGGCGCTTCGTCAGAGTCATCGGGTGAAACACCCAGACTTGGTCCATTAGGTGCCGCTCGGGTTCGGTGGATAACAGGAGTAGACTGTGAAGCTTGATTGCCGAGTGTCCTGGTGCGCTCGTTCTGAGCAAGCATGAGCGTGATTAGCGATGGGCGGGAGGCGGGCTTGGCCTTGAACTCGACGCGCTGGAAGAGCTGGACGTCAACACTAGATTTGCCGCTGTCTTCCGTGGAGTCTTCCCAGTCAGAAGAGTCGTCGTCGTCGATGGCACTCTCGTCAACACATTCGGATTCGGTGCCTGGGTCAACGGCAGACTCGCTCTGCTGTAGAGCCTGAGCTGTCAAGTTGCTGATGCGAGTGTTGGGAAGGGCAGAGTGACCAGAGCTCTTGTGAGAGTCGTCTCTTGACGGTCCGCCAATTTGGAACATGGGCTTATTACCGACGGCAGCGGAAGTGCCCTTAATGTTCTCCATACTCTGGCTGTGTTCATTTGAACAGCAAGATCCACCAAGGGCGAAGCGAGTGAGCTGCATAGGCTGCACATGCTTGTGTGCTGGTGAGGAGCTGGGATCGGGCAAAGCATCTTGGGACGAGGCCTTAGAGACTGGTCCCGACTGATGAAGTATTTGACTCTTCGTGCCATCCGGTGATAGTGAATGAATATAGGAATTATCAGGGGCCTGCGCTAGGGACTGCTCTTTGGTACCGGTAGACTCAGGTGTCCTGAGGTTCTGACCTTGCATTCGTGTACGGCCCTCAGGGAATGGTGATACGGAGGCGAAGCCGGCGCCGGTCAAAGAGTCACCGGCCAAAGATCCGACGCTGTGAGACAGCCCAGGAACTTCCTCATTTCTCGTTTCCGCACAATCCTTATTCGGGATGGCATACGAAAGCAAGTTGGCGATTGCAGTGTACAAAGTGATGGGATTAGCAGGACCCAATGCACCCAGGACATTGGTATCTGAATTGAGAACGTGCGAGTCGTGCAACAGTGCTGCCATTATGCTGCTGGTGCTGTTGGAAAATTTAGCCAGTTGCGTTATTGGTGAGAGCTACTATAAACGTCTCACGCAAGCGAGAAGCATCCCACGCAGTCGGGACCACTGACAGTGTATTCAATGGAAGAGCGTTAGTGCAAGACGTCGAACACGACGAACTGTTCGGGATAGAGGCGATGATTGACGTAATGATCTCTGATGAAGGCAAGCGATACAGCAGAAGACGGGCTTACAAAAGCGACATACAACACCCAGAGGGACGAGCTGATATTCTGGGCTGTTCCCCGAGGCTAGGCACGTTGTCGATGGTTTTGACTTGACTTATACAACGAAGTGCTGTCGTCGTTATTGCGCGCACGTCCAACACACCTGTACTACGTAGATATATCTGCTCGAGTAGCGGGCGATACAGCTCGTTAACATCAGATTGCTCCTGGTCGAGCCACGACACCCACTCTGCCCCTTTGGGCATGGTCTGTTCCGGGGATCCAGTGCCCCATACGGAGTAGAGTCTGAAGAAAAGCAAGATGGTCATGCAGCCGGGGGCACTAACTCGGCGGCCCGAGGCCTATTATTGATTGTGGGGGAGACGAGATCATCGCGCGCTTATTGATTAGGCGACTTGCTTGCGCCACGGTCAGCTCGGAATTGCGGTTGACTATTTTGGATGTGTGGGGCAAACCATAGGAGCCCCAGGTACATGCGTATCCCTGTCCCTGTTGATCCACACCTGCTGTCCATTCGGCTGCGCGGAATCTTCCCCATGGAAGGGCCACACCCACCGAACCTGCCACCCCCCTCGGCGCTTGTCATTAACGCCACCATGTCCACGTAACGAAAAAGACGGGCGGACAGAGGTGACGGCAGGCCTAGCCCAGGTTCCGCTTGGGCAGGGGTGCTGGTTGAGTCGAGGGAAACCTGTCGGTGTGTTGCCCCTGGTCAAAATGCAACTGCGCTTCAATCGGCGCTCTATTTCCACAAGAGGATGACAGCAAAAAGTACTCTGGGGCACATGCACCGTTCACTCTGTGTCGTGCGCCTGTCTGAAAGCACATGCGCCAACGGCTTATTCTGAGCCATGGTTGCAATTCCCAGCCGCCAGCACGTTCCAGTCCTGCACAAAGCTCACTTTGCCTGTCTCTTTTGCTGTCTGATACAGCTGCCTCTGTTGTTGGAAACCCACAAGCGCTCTTGCTACCTGGGTCTACCTGAGTGGTGAGTGACAGCAGTCGTGGGGGTCCTGCTGTTGAGCAAGCAATATTCCAAAGGTACTAAATATTTTCAGTTTCCAACGCGCAACGAAGGACAACAAGAAGAGTAGTGAATTTGTGAAAAGAAGCCCAGGTAGCAAAGAGTTCCCATAACATGGCACTTCCGCTTTCACCTAGCGCGGTCCAGTGGCAAAGCCTGCATCCGCATGCAACCACACTTTCTCCTCGGTGCCCTAGCGGACTCTACTCTCATGGTGAATACGGCGCGCGGTTCAGCCTTGTTTCCAATGCTTTTTTCTTTACAGAACTTGGGCCATTCAGTCTAGCTTTATGTCTGCGCTTGACAGCCCTCCCTGCCACACACTAGCCTATGGTCTCCTTGCCAGCGCAACCATAAACTACACTCTGGATCCGGATAAGTTTTGTCCTCGACTGTGTCGAAAGTGTGACGACTGGTCCATTTGGGGGGGTTCAGCCTTGCCTCTCCTTCCTCTGTGGCAGTTAGTTCTTATCCGTCTGTCTTAATTTATCATTCACTTCTTCGCGGTCCATCCCTACAAGCTGATTGTTCAGAGCTGGAGGTAAGTGTCAACTTCTTCCATAGGGCTAACAGAATGTCCCCCAAACTGATAAAGTAGATGGCATCAGTAAAGAGTCAATTACCGAAACAACAAGCGACATATATGTGTATAAACAGTGACCCGACATCTGCCTGGAATGACGTGAACCTATGCCCTCTATCAATTTACCATCCCCAAGAGGAAGTAAATTTGAGCGCGAATGGAAAAGCGAACCATACGTGCCTGTCACCTGAAAATCACAGATCATCTGGGCGTGCCAAGATCCAAGGTCCAAGGAACACTAGTCGCCGAGAAACGCAGTGAATGCCATGCGAGTCAAACTCCGGTTCGATTCCCGGGGGATACCATGGGGTATTCAGTAGCTGCAGGCCCGGTATTTAACAATACATGTCCGCCAAAGTTTCTCAGACTCGTACGTTCCTAGGCTGCTATGTACCATTGTTTCGTTCCCCCAAATAGATCATATTATGCTTGCTCGGAGACATGATGCTCGTCTTCGTTTGTGCCTCAAATACTCATTCCCTCCGGAAATAATGCAATACTAAGTCGGTAACTCAAGCTCACGACCGGTGACACGCTCACTCTGCCGTGCTTAATCGTAATACCTGTCACCACCAGCTTCGATTTGCGTTGATCCAATCTCTGTTCCGGAATCAACACATGGACTTCGCCTCTATAGAATTTGAGGCATCCATTCTGCGGGTCTGGGACGATAATGCTCAACACATGACAGGCAGTGGAAGGAGAATGGCAACGCCGGTGTGTGGATGTCGAAAGGGCAAGCTTTGGGAAGTGTTCTGAGACCATCGCAAGCAAAACCCCAGTGGCTCCAATCCTATGCGGTATCTGATCGAGTCCCAAACAGGCTACCACGGGTCCTTTCGATGTACTGATATGCTCAGAGAAGTACAAGCCTTGCACGTTTATAGAGATGACATGACCACCGTTTATTGAGAGGCATAAGTTCGCTGGTGCCTTCACACGCTCGAATAGATTAGGCCAGAGACGCGACAGTAGCTGTATCAAGCCCACAGAAGAACTTTCATCATCCGTTTCTCGGCTATACAGTCTGTCGACTCTGTTGGTATGTCGTGTGCATTTGTCGTCGACTATGTCTTCCTGTGGCGTGTGTGCATCTGTGCAATTAAGACCCGGATTTTCCTGCAAACCAACAACTCTGCACGCAAGCCGTTGGATAATCTCAATGCCATCGGGCGGTTCGCAGGTCCCGCTTGTAGGATGACGTGGATTTCGTTCCCTTACTTCAATACCCAGACCGTTGTTCCAGTACTGGAGACCAATGAGGGGATCGTCGAGCATGTTTGGAAGATTGATATGGGGGAATGATTGAGAACTATCAAGAAATTTAGTCTCGAGTTATAGGCTCCCTCCCCATGAGCAGCAAGAAATTAGCTGTGAACCCTGCACGAATTGAGAGGGAGTACGTGTTTCATTCCTCAATAACGGTATTTTCAGTTAGGCATTTAGAGTTATGTAGTCCAAAACCGGCCAGTTCCCGTGCCCAAAGCCGGCCACGGGGACCTCAATGCACTTTGAATAGGAGCATACAACGAGGCACATCCTTTTCAGAGCCAAGCACCATGTAAAGTAAAGAGGCAGAATGTCTCCCACTAATGCTCGGAGCCCCACGAGACAGTTAGTCATCTCGCTTCCAATTGTTAGAAATACGGTGTGGCCACTGTCACAAGAGGCGTCACTGTAAAAGTGAATGGGTGTGTAAGCAAAAGGCCAGTTTATTCATGTTGCTGTACTTGATCTTGTTCTGTCTATTTACACGGCTAAGCGTGCCGCTATGCATTTAGCCAGCATGAAGTGGGGTTATGCAAGTATAGTTGTGCGACACCAATATAAATTGGCCGGGGTTAGAGATAACTTCCTTCCCCTGAAAGTAGATTTTCCTAACCAGCTTGCCCTTGCTTTGTACTGAACACCTACTCTGTCCCTATCCCCCGCTTTTCTCCTCTTTTACCCACATTCGACGTGCAATTCAACTCGCAATATTGTGGCTGCCAAAGTCTGGTCTGTGCCCCTGCTCTTTGCCCTGTACTTCGACCTGCGCTTCGACATACAATTCAGCGCGCAACACGTAGCTGGCTTGGATCGACTTCAACACACACTTCGACTTGAAGCAGGCTGGGCTACATTTCCGGTGCATATCACCCGGGCGACAACATGGATACTGGCATATTTTGCGGCAGAATCACCAAAGACCAGTTGGTTGAGCAAAATAAGCAGTTATCTCAGCAGATTAAGGAAAACCAGCATAACATACAATTGTATGAGAGGTGGGACGCTGTTTGGCCAGACTTGGGGACAGATGCCCTTGAGACACGGCTGAGAAGATGTGATAGTCTTGCTTCAGCGCTCGCTAAGCCAAAGTTTCCCGAGTTCCCAAACGAGGTGAGGGAATTAAATCTTGAGGGACTGATGTTTCTTTGCCTTTCATTCAGCAAAAGCAACGATAGCAGCTACTGGGAATCTTTTACTGCCTCAAAACTTCACAATTTTATGCATTGGAGAAAAATAACGCTGGCGGAGAAAGACAAGGAAAAAATTCTTAACCGGATGCGGACCAAGTCAATGGCGTTCGAGGTGTTTAAGAGCATCCTTGATCATGTTCAACACCACAATCTGAACCAAATGGAAGTCGCGGCTCAGCCTACTATAACTCAACCTACAATCGAAAATTCACAAGCTGCAGTCCAAAATAAACGAACATGGTCACCCACATCACCCAAACAAATGAATATGTCAAAGCGACATTGTGGAATGGAACAAGTGCACGACGCCTTCGAATATTCCCTGAATGTTGCAGTCAAGTCCAGACTTCGTGCGTTTTTGGCAAATGAGCTTGTGCAAACCTTAGAACAGCACGAAACATGGGGCCAATTTCAGGTGACTGATCACGTTCGGGCACGATATTATAGGAAGAAGGCGGTATTCGTTATCGATTGGCCCGAAGATCTGCCAGAGCCCAGTTTAGAAAAGGTGAAGGTGTTTCCCGAACACAGGTGGGGAGACGTAGAGATCAGGCGGCCATATCAGCTTAGAATTCGAACTTCTCTTAGTCAAGGGAAGTTAATATCGAATCATGTATTTAACTTAACTCGGTTACTGGTGTAGTCCAACAGTTACGCTTCCGTACCTGGGGCCCATGAAACATACATTTCATATATAACAACGGTTGTTGCTTCTGTAAACTGGTAACGATCCTCCTTGTTTGTCCCACGGAGTATCTCATCGTTTGAACCCGTTCTCCTTAATCTGATCTGCCCTTTGCCAGGAGATATAGGGCCATACCAGAGCAAGTATTCCCCCGCCGTGGCATGAAACGCCCCGGTAATGATCGGCTCATATGCTCGGGGATTTAGTTCGCTCAAGGATGGAGGCATATCGTGAGCTTCACTAGCTGAAGTTTCGTTCGCCTGACGGAAAATATTAGCCGCTGTTCATCTTGATGCGAATAAATGGGCGAACCTCAGGCTCCATGCTGCCGTGAATAGTCCAACTCGATGAAACAAGACAGCGACTCGGACCAAGTAGGAGTGTGAACACCGAGAGTACGTATTGCGATTAGGGCCTCGAGTCGACTCGTACGGTCGGGAAGCACAACTTCATGAGTCTAATAGACTGTATAGTGCGATTTTTGATAAAGAATTCGATAAATCGGTACCGTGGAGATGGCCGGGGAATCGCGAGGGAAATATGACGCATATTTGCGCATGACGGGCCACGATTTTTCGTCGCAAACTTCATTTGGGCACAAATGCTGTAACCCCGCCCGTTGATAGCCCACTAAGGAACGTCCACGTGACGCGCTTGAAAGCCTCGGTTGCGTTGCCAACGGAATTGATGAAGGATTTCTGCGTCGTCAAAAATGGTCAATGCCCTGTTAACAAAAATGCGATGCGCAACCTGCTTCGTATTCTCATCAGCAATCACGAATAAAGTGAGCTCGTTCATCTGGCCCGAGCCTAGGACTTGCTTTGTCAACTAATGATTGTTCGTTTCGGCATGGGCTGGCCGAAAAGACGCGATGAATCACGTGTCACAGAAGCTTGGAGAGCCCCGAGGAGCCCTTTCAGCCAATGGTGACTCCATAAGGTGGCGGCGAGTCGAGACCTTCGACTTGCAACCCCATTTCGACCTGCATTTCGACTTGCAATGCAGATTGCAATATTGTATCGTGCTGTCAGAAGTACGGTGTGGATACTGTCACAAAAGGCGTCACTATAAAGCTAAATGGGTGTGTAGGCAAAGGCCCCGTGTCTTCATTGTTGTCTGTCCTTGTTCTTGTTCTGCCTATTTCCTCTCCTTTTTAAGCGGTTAAGCTACGTATGTACTTAGCCAGTATGAAGTGGGGTTATGCAAATATAGTTGTGCAACACGTACCCATGCCCCGCCGTGCATTTCGGCTTTGACGTCGACTTACAATGCAGCTTGCAATATTGTAGCGTACCCATACCCCCGACGTGCATTTTGGCTTGCACTTCGACTTACAATGCAGCTTGCAATATTGTGGCCTACCTCGCTCCCGGTCCATTTCGACCTGCACTTCGACTTGTACTTCAACTTGCACCTCGACTTACACTTCGACTTACAATGTAGCTTGCAATGGCATCCCCGACGTGTTGCAACTACGACTTGCCAGGTTTACCCACAATTCGAGACGTCGAGTGCATTTGGGCTAGCTTTCGGACCACAATACTGTTCCTGCACACTGACATCCGATAAGATTTTTTGGACCTCCGCAACGGCTTCATTTGCGAAACACTAAAGACAAGGGAATCTGCCTGTTTTTAAAGACGATTATACAGTATATGACTTGCCCCCGGCCTTATTATGTCTTCTCAAGCTTCTCTGTGCACGGCTTGTTAAGACTGCCACCAGTTTCGTCGACAGTTTGCTTGCTAACAGTGTCGTCCTGACCCCTCTGATTGAGACTTTGGGAGCCCCACTCTAGAAACTCTGCCCGGTGTTCGACGAGGACATAGGGGTGGTTTTCTTTGGTAGATTGATTTGTGTTTTCTTTGTGCCTTCCGTCAGCGTTGGAAATTCTGTAGACATTATTGTCGCCGTGTGTTTCATTGTTCGAGGACATGTTCTTAAGCAAAGAGGCTGGAATTCAACCATAAAACAGTACAGAGTGAAATGAAGGAACTCGTATTATGTTCCTCTTAGCAATTGACGACAAGCCATATTTATACTCCGTTGGCTTAGCCCCGAACTGCTCCCTACCTTAGAGTTAAATCGACCACCGGGCGGTGAGGCCGCCTCACTTCTCTCTTAGCATTAATGTATGGCCGAGACGGCCTGTATGTTTTGTTGGTGGTGATGTTTAGGTTAGATTCTCCTCGAATGCTCGACGCGGATTCACTGGCTGGCGTGGTAAGTTCTGTTGCTAATACGTGAAGACCCACTGTTGGCTCTTCGACAACAACATCGGGGAAGCGGAACAGCCACTGCCTCGTTTATCCCTGCAAGGACGGCCAACACTGTTGGCCGTCATGGCTTGTGACGAGTTGCATGAGATGTATTTATTCTTCCCTCGTTTCCCGTCCAAGTGTCAGTTTTAAAGAAGAACATGATGTCTGGCCTTGGTCAAGGCTCCACGTTCTGACAGGGATCCAGCCGAGATTGAATGCAGGCCTGCGAACGGTCGCTCGAAGCATCTCTGTGTGGCTGACGGAGCGTCTACCTGGGGGGATCAGGAGACCGGGGATATCACCCAGAAGTACAGAGGTACGAACGGGTTTATAAATGAGTTCACAGCTCTCCTTGCTATAAGTCTTGAATTATGTGTTCTTTGCAAGTACGTACAGTTGTATATACATACAAATGAATCCCAGTTATGTTGTGTATCTTTGATTGCCAGAGAAAACGCGAATATCCGAAATACATGCTACTAGCGCGAGGTTCCAGACTTCTTTGCATTTGACCCCAATCATGGCCGGTCGTGAAAGGCCTCAGAGGCGCAGGAGCTGTCGGATGTGCAGAAAGCGCCGTGTGAAGGTAAAGACATTCTTTTCAAATAGGCAGTTTGAGTGTATCTGACCTAGGCCAATCTAGTGCGATCGAAAAAAACCTACCTGTGGGCAATGTACTGTGAGGGGAGAAGACTGCGAATATGACCCAAACTTTCTCGATGAAACCAAAACCGTCGAAGAACTGGTCAAAAAAAGTTGCCAACGCAAACGGTCAAAATTGAGTCCCGAGGAAAAATGGAGGAAGACCCTGATTTGCAGCGGCTATACAACCTTCATCCCCATTACTCGCCGGCGGATGGCGAAAGATAGTTTGGGAGGATTGTTCATTAAATGCATGGACACCATCGCATCTTTATATCAGAGGTCAGAACATTCCAACTGCGTTCGCCAGATACATCTCACTGGCCAACAGCAGCACTCGGACACCCACTCCCGCGAGGACCTCATAAAACAGTATGAGGCATTGGTAGCGGCGACCTCTACCGCGTGGAAGGACAAAGAAAGCAGACTCAAAGATGATACCCTGGCTTGTATTCTCTTGCTGGTTCTCTGCGAGCATGCTGCACATATATTGGGCTGGGAAAAGCTTGTTGTGGCAGCCATAACTCTAGTCACAAAAAGGCTCAAGGGGCGAATCAACTCACGCATTCAAATTTACATGTTTGTGGCCGTGTACACACAAATGGTGAGCTCGTCCCTGGGTTGCATAAAAGGATGGGACTAACAGACGCATTTGCCTCACAGATCAAGAACAGCGTAAAAACGGGGAAGCAGCCAAATGCACTCATGTCAGGCTGGCTTTTGCAGGTCCAGAAGAACACAAATGACAAGGAGTGCAAACCACTCTGCTATGAGGCTATTGAACTTGCCACCAAGGCGTATCAGGAGGCTGGGCTGTCGCATTTAATTGATTCTGCCTAACTGAAGACGTGAAATGCCATCAACATATTCGCGGTCAACAGGTCAGGGCTCAATTTCTGCAAGGCAATGTTACGTTTCGCTTAGAGAAAGCCAGAGTATCAAGATGAGGCAAACAGACACGCCGAAAGGGAAATCAAATAATTTGGTTGAATTCCACAGATACGCTGCTAGCTAGGGACTGTTCTGGCAATCTACCCTGCCTCGTAAGTCATCCCTCATGGCAATGGTGGACTTTCCAACGCACTAGAAGGCCCGCAGTATGTGGAGCCATTCAGGATCTTTGAAGTGTTACCACGGGTATCAATAAGAAATCTGACCCTATCCGGAAACTCACACCTTTCAATGTAGCCAATACCGTGTACGGCCCGCATTTCTCAGTCTTTGCATTTGCTCCCTTGATCAAAACCACGTCTTGCTCCTTGTCAAATGTAAGAGGGATTGACAAGTAGGCATACCCAGACGCCCATCGCAGAGCCGCTCTGGGCTCCAATCGATCTATAACTGGCCATTTGCTTGGGTGCGTTGCGCTGTCCGAAAGGTCTTCACTCTCTTCCCCGTGGGACGCCATCCATCGACGTATCTTATCGCGCTGTGCCCTTGTTAGTGGACTTGGAATGGTGGGAATCCAGGGACCATGAGGATAAAAACTGACGTACCATGACCTCCCAAATATCTCTAATGAGCCCCTCCTCATTATCAGGCAGCGGATAGGTTTTGAGTCCACGCTTCAACGCCGACCCATCAAACCGTGGCAGCAATGACTTGGTCTCCGCCCGGAGGTTGTGCAACCTTTGTCGAATAGAGACTCGCAGCTCATCATTCCCCTGCAGGCTAAAAAACCTGAACGGCCAGTCTGTGGTGACTGGAATAGATGGATTTTGGATTGGCGGTGGAGGAGCTTGCCGAACCCAATCACGGAAGTCCGAGTGCCGCAGAGTGTACACCAGGACATCACGTACGAGAAGCTTGTAAAACAGCTCGTATCTAATGTGTGGGTGTCAGCATGGTTTCAAGCTGCCGCTTATAAACGACAATAACAAGAATATACTAATGAAAGTTGGCCAAAGCACGCACTGGTCATAGCCCATCTGAAGCGGCCCAAGAGCCGGGCCGAGAATTCTGAAGAGGACGTTGATGAGAGATAAGCATTGACAGTTTGCCGTAATTTTTGGCGGGCAAATCGGTTCCTCTTGGTCAAAGAAATTATCACACCAGTCTCTTGTGAAGTACTGAGAAATTGAACTATAGTTCTTCACTAGTTTATAGATTAGCTGGATGCTTGCAGTTCGAGGCGGATGGCGGGATTGCCCATACTGAGAATATATAGCACGTATGCCCAGGATCCAAGACGCACACTGCCCAGCTCGTCGAAGTTGATACCGTTCCTGAACCACTGTCGACGATTCACGCAAAATAGTCGTTGCCATCGGGATGTGTTTGGCCCATAACTTTCTACTGGATAGAGGCGCTGACAGGCTCCCATTTGATTATCGATGAAATCGACAATATTACGTATCTGGGGGTCCCTAGAGTCGCTGCAATTATTGACAACGATTCTTACCAAAACTTCTCCGGCGCCCACGAGTACCTGCCGAAAGACACGGATCACCATCCTCAGCTTTACGACCTCCGGCGACTCCCGGCCGTTACTTAAAGCCAGGGCCTGATTGAGATTTTTGACCAATTCATTGCCGTGAGAAGCTGCTGTCGCGTAGAAATCCGAGCAGATGCTGGTCACCGTGACCGTTGGTATACTGGACGGCGGAATACGGAAGAAGAATTCCCGGGCGCGCTGTTCAGCTTCAGTACCTGAGCTCAAGTACTCTTCCCACGCTTCTTCGCTCGGAAGTTGAAGCTTGAAACGGGCAGTTGTCTCTGGTTCTGACAAAGGCCCGATGGAGGGTGACCCGCGACGTGAGGCAGCACGGTCCTGCTCTTGTGCGAAGCTCGCAGGCGTAGACACTTGCCAGCCGGATGACATGGCAGAAGCTCGATACGGCGCATGGAACCAGACGCCGAGGTATTGTCGTTCCAGGGTTCAGTGTCTCGCTCTAAGATGTCGAGCGGCGGAGGTGGAGGCGACTGGGCTGGGGAAGCTGGTGTTCCCAAGAGCAGGTCCGCCGTGTTTGGCGAAAATACTCCGGACCTGGAGTTGGGAGCCGGGATCTAGCTTATGCCCGCACTGTGACTTCGGTGCTTTCCCAGGGACCGCGGCACTTAGGCCTGCCGATTTGATGTGAGATGGTCTGTAATAAGTTAGGATGGTGTGCAGCAGTGGCTCGGGCCACTCTCTGCCCCCTGCCTTGGCCGCCACCCCCGTCCATTACGAGATAAACCCCTATTCACCTGGTCCCCGCTACTGAAACTTGGGGGACGGCCCGGCTCGTACTACGCACGCCACAAAACCACAGACCAATGGCTAACCAGGGAAAGAAAGAAAAGTGCAGTAGGTTATATATGGGTTGCAAGGCCGCACATTGTGTTTGTCTGCCTGGCCGGAGCAGCGTCGGTGTGGCGTCTCTCATATGCAATGGACTGGAAGGTAACGACCATCCTACAGCTTGCATTCTCAGTTTTCGTCTTTCTCTTTTTGCTTTCATCTCTATTCATTGCTGCCTTCGGAAGAAAAGACGCCAGGAAGAGCACAAGACTCCGCGCGTGTACGCTACTTTACGCAATCGCTGCTGCGGTGACGAGCCACTTTTGGAGTAGGGCGAACGGCCAGCTTGAGTCCGAGACGCAATTAATTTCAACACTCACTATCTGGAACTCGGCAGCGTCGGTATGAATGCCAATGCCTCCTTTGATCACACTCCTCCTGGGCCATCAGCTGACAGTTTAGCAGTTTGCCGCCTGGCCGCTGACTTCCGAGTCCAGTCGATGCAGCGGCGTCGCTGTCGTCGCCATCACCGTTACGACTATTGTCTTTGGCAGATTCCATTCATCACTGGCTTGCGTGGTCGCCGTGTGTGGCTCCAACGTCCTGGTACTCTCAGGTATAGTGCTGTTCCAGTTGCACCATGCCAGGCGAGAGCAGTTGGAGATATATGGGGGGATATGCCTCCTATTCATAGTTTATTTCGTCTGGTTCGCTGCCCTGGCTCTTGCTGAAGGAAGCGATACACTGGCTCGATACTTGGTAAAAAAGATTATCACCACTCCATCGCCGGCGGATGCCGTGGCTGACCTCGTGAAGATTTGGTACACCACCTGTGTCCCTACTGTCGCACTTTCGTGCTACGCATCTCTGCGAATTTTGGCACTTAATGTTGTCAAGTACGGAGGGAAAATATCTACTGCCGCACTTCCATGGTACGAATCTCTGCGATGCTTGATAATTTATGCTAACAAGTACAGGAGGAAAATGCTGCAGCATGGGCTAGTGTCTGATCCTGAAGCTCCCTCTGTGACACCTGGCCACCGCTCGTCAATGTCAGAGTCGCTGCAGGGCTCGGGGACTCAGCTTCAGCAGTTTCGGCCGCTTCAAAATCCAAGGCCACCAAGCGCGGGCTCGAAGCTGACGACGCCCTCATCACATGGGCCAGCAGCTGTGCCAGCTGGTCCTCTTGACCCTTCACCTACGAAGTCCCTTAGAGAATAGCACAGGCTTTTCCAAATAAATTCTCAAGAGTTGTTGTCACAATTTTAGTTGCCAAACAAAGTCTGCCACAAATTGCCACCATGTGCAGCCTTGATCCTGCAGGGAATATTGCTCACGCTATAAGACTCATTGTTAACTAAGCTGCTTCATAAAATGAATTATTATTCCGCTAAGTTCAGTCATGATACCCGACATTATGACGGCCAGGAATTACACCAAGTTCTGCTACTTTAGTCTGCAGAGGCACAGTTCTATCCGACAAATATACGTCCACGTAATTGGACCAAAGGCGTGTCGGTCACTTACGACCTGCATCGCTCGGCTGATTGAATAGCTGGAGAACTGCTTCCTGAGGTATCCATCTTCGTCTCCGGGGTTCACTTTCATCTTCTGCCTACATAACCTGCTGCCGGCCACGAATGGTCCCCACGCTGTCCATGATCACCAGGCACGCTTCATTTACCGCTACGGGTACGTCAGCGCCATGTGGCTGATCAACCTGTCGCGTTAGCTGCCACAACCAGATAAGCGTCAGGTGGGTGGATGCTGTTATGCCGTGCTATCTTCCAAAAGCGATCTAACTGGTGCACATGAGGGTCATTCCTTCTCCGCGTAGCTCCATTCCATTTACCTCTTCGCACAGACTGCGACCGACTTCATTTTAAATGCCCTCCCAACCGGCCTCTCATGGTCGACGGGTGCAGCTGGGGCCAGCATATAATGAATGTCATGACTTTCACGGAAATTTTACCCGTTCATTGGAATCGGGGTGTGTCTTGCTTCTCTAAAGTTACTCCCATGTTCAGCCATTATTCGGCAACATACTTGCACACCGTCGCAGTGCCACCTTTGCGTCGCAGATATGCCTCGGACATCTCTTCCAGTGCAAGCAGAATCTTACATGCCCAAAAGTAAACGGGTCCTTGAAATCGCGCAGTCGAGGCTGGCGGCCATATCTAATACTCCTAGTCATCTTATAGGAAATCGTCGTGTCTGACACCTTCACAACTCGAACAAAAGAGAGCCTACGACAGAGGGCTCAGAGAGCAATGCGTGCACGAACTAGGCAGTACATCGAAAATCTCGAACTGGAAGTTAAACCGCTCAGAGGGACTCGCAGGAAACAAATCGAAGCCCTTATACGTCGCAACGCCGCGCTTGAGCAAGAGCTTTACGAAGACACCAAACAAATCGAACAGCTTAAACGCCTCGGACGAGAGAATAGATCTATGCAGAACAATCTTCATCGGGCCACGGACCATATCATACAAGCCCATACCTGTCCGTTGGTAACTTGCGGGATTTTCACAACATCTGGCGTTGAAACGAACGGCACTTGTCTTGTACAGCCATGCTCTCGTTCGTGTTCAATTCCATCCCAAGTGCCGCAGGGCCTTCCAGCAGTGGAGTACCACGGGCTTACCCAGGCTCACTTCACTAGTTGTGCGTACGATGCTGAGGTCGGTTTTAGGGCGAGAGTTCAGGGTAATATGTATCTTGACTTGGCAATTGCCATTTGGGTGTAACCTGAAACCAAGTGGCAAGAAGAGAGCGACGCGATAATATCAAACATCTACTGTTCAAGCCCCTGCTCAGCCCGTCTGGGAGGTGGAAAACACGCAAATCAACCCAAGTCGAAAACTGAGAGCAAATATCCAAAATGCAGGACAGCCAATAGCCGCGGGAAGGGAAGGTGATGACTTTACATAAACCATAATAAAGCTACTTCTTCCCGCTAGAAAATATGCCGGACGTCGAAACTTTGAAGATGCCCAAGAGGTTTCCATTGACTTTGATTTGAGGTCTGATCCGTCTTGAGCCTTCAGATTTCTCAAACATGACATACAATTTCATTATCCGAGAAAACCAGCCTATTTTTAGTACACCGCCCTTCTTTTCTGACCTCAGAACCAGCTTAATGTGAAATGGGATCAACGGGATGGATATTCCAAACTTATAGTCTTTTATCCTCCCCCCAAACTTGGACAACTGCAACAGCCTCCAGTACCACCCGGGCTGCTCGCAGGGATGTTCCGAGTGCAACGAGTCCTTGAACAGATCAAAAGTCTCCCAAGTCTGTTCCAACGATTTTATTTGTGTGAAAAACCCCGGCCGCTCGAAGCCACCCCAGAATAGTACCCTAAAAAGGGCACATACGTATATACATTCGCTGACGTATTGCTCGGCAAGGTGGTAAGCTAGTAGAAAGAGCTTTATCTTGGACACGGAAGATCGCGTTGCAGAACAATAGAAAGACTCCAGCGGCGATGCAGCCTTTTCAAAGGCCGGAATTGGTGCCATTTGTGATTGAGAAGATCATAAAACGGTTCAAGAAGTGTTTTGTTTTCGGTCTTTGTCCATGCTTTTCGTGAGGGATAAAAGACCTTTTGATGGGCAACTGGCAGACACCCCCGCCCAGTCATTCCTCTGGACTCAATTCATGTCTTTCTGCCACCGCTCTTTACATCTATACCCGCGAGGTGGCTTGCAACATGCATCTCGGCGTTGTCGTGGTAGGATGTAATTGTGAGTCCACTAGATGGAGAAGGGAGACAGCAATAATATTGGCCCAAGTACAAGACGCAGTCGGCAGCTCAAGAGTCAGGATTGGTTACCTTACGGTACCACCCCACCCCCAGACCTCAAGCACACACTGGAGCACATACAACCCAAGGCCACTTCTACCCATCATAAAGCCAGGGACTAACAATACCTTCAATACTAGAGTCCGTAGTTTTATAAATCAATAACTGAAAGCCTTCTTTATCTCCTCATAGCTCGCTCCTTTACATAATAGAAGCCGCAGCTTGACCCAGGCTTTCAGCGAGCTTAAATTCCCACCCCCAATGCATCCGTCCCCCAATCCGTACACAAAGGCGCCGCTGACATGCCCCTCTTCAGGTCCACGACAGACAATCACAGGAAACTGTCTGGGTTTGCTGTACTCCATTATCTCCTTGCCAGGCTTGGTTGACCAGGAGCCAGCCCCCATGCCTTCAAGGATAATACCTCTTGCAGGATCCTCAGCCTTCTCTACTGCAGCGAAGAAGAGGTCCACAGTTGATCCTGGGTAGCCTTTCAAAATATCGACTCTCGGGAGATCCTTAACCTCTTGGAGATAAATCGAGATTCTTGGATCCGTCGGCAGACTCGGGCCATAGTTGTATCTCACGTCTTTTTTGTCGACAATATGGCCAAGGTATC